TGTTTGTTTACTTAGGATGCATTGGAAAAGAAGTAGATGGGAATTAAAATACTGAATGGTGGTGTCTCAAAATTGTAATTACTTTCTGATAGTGTGTGACTTCTCATAGCTCTAAAGCTGCATGCAGGGATTGGTTCTGTGCTGTGTATATGCAGAGGAGTAAAGGAATGTCATTTCAGTATTTATTATTCTGAGGAAAACATCTGTGGCACAGTGCCTGTGAAAATGATGATTATCAACCATAAACAGATATGACAGTTCACTTCAGAAATTATTCTATTGATCTCTGCAACATTGCATTTACTTTCCAAAATAAACAAAATTGTTTGCTTCTGGTAAATGGGGAAAAACACTTCAGCTTCTTTGTGAACAAGAAGGGCAGTCTCTAGGGAAAATGAGTCATGAAAACAGTACAGTTATTTTAATTGTTAGGATTTTTGATATCCTAGTGGAAGCCTTCATTATCTACTTTTTTGTCTGAGGGGTGGACAGTCCACTAAAATAAAAATCTTAACCCAAATCTGTATTAACTAAGCATACTTTAGCTAGTTTTAGGTCATAAAACCAAGATGAACACACATTACAAATTAATCTTTTATTAGCTTTTTTATTATTCTTTTATTGGTTTCATTTTATTAGCAGGCAAACTGTTAAAGCAATAGTAAAGTGTAGCCTCAAGGAAGAATCTTTGTAATCCTTTTGGGATGCTTCATCCTGTGGTTTTCTTGACTCATTATTGGAACCATGCATTACTAATTGTTGAAGAGCTTATGGCTTTCTTTCATCAGCCTTTTCTCTATCTTTTTATTTATTTATTTATTTGCAAGCCAGAAAACAGTGAGACCAAAGAAAATGATATATGGTAATGATTGAAGAACCAGATCAGTCATACAAGCAGCACTAGGGGGAAGAGCAGGGAATTAGGAATAAAGATCCGTCAGTTACTGTCATTGGTTTGATTTCCTGCGAGAGTGACTTTGATGACTGTTGTAGTGTGATGTGTAATTAGAGTGTTTTTAGCAGTGAAAAACTTCACGTAAGTTTGAACATTTTAACAAAAATGGAAATTTTGATTTTTGCGCAGCTGTATGTCAGTGCAGAAGGGATGCTTGTCATTCCATGTGTCGAAATTCTGCAAAAAAAGTGTTTGGCTGGGACATAGGTGTTGACAATGTGCTGTAAAAATTCAAAACTGCCTAAGGGGCTGAGTGTGCAGTTCTTGGAGAGTCTTCTTCTGACAATGACAGGAAGAAGCTGTCAGAAGGAATTGGATGCCGCCCCCGTCTCCTTGGATTGAGCAGGCACAGTGCTCTACTGCTGTTCTCTGTGGCAATGCAGGAGTGGAGTCCAAATTCAAACTCTTTTGAGTGGTTGTGAAAACTGCCTCCTGCAGATGTTCACCTGCACTTTGTGTGACTGTTTTTGCAAGTTGTAAGTTGGAAATTTTGGCAGTTATCATGGGGCCTTGCCTAGAGGTAGTTTCATGGGTAACCAGAGGTTCTGGTACTGAGCTCATCTGAGGTTTGTGTGATAGATGTCCTCTAGAAAATAATCCCAAGTTAGGTGACAGAGGATTTGTGTTGAGGGTTGGTGGAGTTTTCTGGCATGTTGGTTGGAGATGTTGGGTCATTAGATGGATGAGGGGTATAAAGGGACAGAAAATGAGGAGGTGAGGAAAACTTGCTTATAGACCTGTGTGAGCTGATCACAGACCAATGTATTTGACTCTGATACTTGGCACAGAATGTGGCTGTATGTGCAAATTCAGGATTGCCAATCTTCCTGACTGGATGAACTGCATAGGATTGATAACTATCTTGGGCTGAGAGCAGGAGAGGACTCCAGAAGAGGTTCACTGCTGATGTCCTCTCCCTGGAGATCCCATAGCCCTATTGTAGGGCAAGGCATGGAGCTGAATGTCAGGCACACCAGACAGTGGGATATGGTCAGCCCTTGCTAGGCTATGTACTTATGTATGTAGAGATTTGTCTGCATACACCTTGTGTCCCTGTAGAGACAGCCTTCTTGAACACCACCCACTGCCCATGTGCTGTTTTTTCTGATTTTTCTCTTCTGCTTCACTGATCCCCCAACTCCATGCCCTAAGTGACTGTCTACCAAGAGTTGCTGTGGGCTCCAAATGCCTTTGCAAAACTTAATGAAAAGCCATCTTAAATGCACTGTGGTCCCACAGACTGAATATTCTGCCTCTAGTCACAGTTTATGAGTGTCGATGATTGATGTAGCCCAGTGAGTTGTGATATGAACTAGAGAAAATTTTGTGTGGAAAAAAACCTAATTAGGATTAAGAGACTCCCAAAATGATGAGCATATCTATTTTTTGGAAATGTGTTCATTACTTGTGATACAAAATCAGTTAAAAAAATTGCAACTAGCCAGCAGCTTTTGTACTAATAGTTCACTATCAAATTTATGACTCCCAAACCTAAGTGGGGTTTGTTGAAAGGCATATCATGTTAGTTGACGTGGGACAAAATGTGTGGTGTGAGCTGCAGTAAAGGTGTCTGTTGTGATCCATGGATTAACTGCAGATAGTTCACTGCAGTTTGAAACACTGTCTTGAGGAAAAATAGCATTGCACTGCCAAATAATATCATTGATATAGATATTGGCTTTAGAATATATGTGCATTTCAATTTATGAACATATCTCTCGGAGTGTTCATGTTAAATGAGATTGTTTTGGCAGCTGCTTTTTTTGAAAGCTGACTGTTTCCTAGAATTCTTTCCTGAGTCTGTATTTAAACTGAAACAGTGCCTGGATTTTTCTGTATTAGTTTCATGTTATTTTGTTATCTGCAGATCTAAAAGTCTCCCCCAGGAAAATCAAAACATAATAAAACTTCACTTCTCACAGAATATTGATTTTCTTGTAAGCAAAACTAATGGCTAAACTCACCATTTTACATTGCTGCTGTTTATCATAGTTTTAGGATCTGTCTAGCTATGTGCAAGTAGCAACGATGTATTTTTAATATTGTGATTCCATGATAGTAGAATGTCAGTGATTCTCAAAAGATTTAATTTTAAAAACAAAATAACTTTTTATTAATCTGGAAGAGAAGTTGATTTTATAATAAAAAAATTAAGTTATGTTGTTCTTTCTTTGCACCCTAATTTAGTTTAGAAGTATTCTGATCATAGTCAGTTTAAAAACAAACATCAGTAAAGTATATTCTGCTATTATATACTAGGAATACCCTTTTTCTGTGAAACTTGTATTTGAAAAGGAAATTCAGTCACACCCAGTTTCCCTCATCCCATTCTTTCTTCCAAATACCTTTTCCTCTGGCTCTTATTTTAATCATAGTTATGTCTAAGCAATGCTCTTTCAAATGGAAGATGAATTATAAACCTGGCAACCTTCTGTGCCCTTCTGACAAATTACAACCCGTGCTGCTTTTTTGCCTTAGCATCAAATTCAGTTTTAGTGCAACTGTGACTTATCATCTTGGATGGGTAATTTTTGAACAGATGCTTATTATTATGATCTTATTGGCCACGGTAGCAAAGAATATATTAAATTTCAAAACCAGTCAGACCATCATTCTTGGAAGTGTTTGTAAAATGTTAAGTCGAGACCAATGGAATAATATTTTTTTCTGTGAGATTAGCTACTCTTTTCACAATGAGAATGTGATAACCCATTTTTTTAAACCTTTCGATATCTCAGAAAAGCTAAAGTCTAGTTTTGTGTGGGGGTAGCAGAGGGACTGTGTAACTTATTTTTCTCTTCCTCTTTGGCAGTGCCAAATAATCGGCCTTGTCCTTTACAGGCAGTGTAGAGGTAACATGAGGCCTGACTTTAATTCCACCTGTCCACCTTAGATTTAAAGTCTTTTAATGGAATTACCACCAAATTGTGAATATTGACCCGTAAGGGATCAGAAGAGAGATTTATACCCAAGGAATACTTTAGTGCACTTGCCAGCAGATCTCATGTTGATGGTAACTGGTTTAGCAATGTTGTAAGCTGCCATCATTACTTGTGCAAGGTTTGTAGGAGTGGTGAAACAGTGTTTCACCCATGAGGCTTTAGATTTACTTCACTGTCTTAAAGTGCTACTAAATGTCTAAACTGATATGTGTTTGGTAAGGTAAAAGTTACTCTGAGTTTTAACTTCACAGATGTGATCAACAGTTCAAATAGAAGCAAAAAGCTCTTTTATGTTGCACTTTTATATATGATGTCCCATGTTGCTCTAGTGCCCATCTGTGCTTGACTGAGAATTACTATCCTGTAGACCTCCAGGAAAAGTTGTGTTTGAGGTCTACAGAGAACAAACTGAGATAACAACACTGAAAAACAGATAACAAAAAAAGTTCTTGAATGTTCTGATTGATTTTTATAGGTTGTATGTTAGAAGTATTCATACTACAGATACTGTTGGAGATTTATTTCTGGCCTTTTTTGTATATAGGGTTTATCCCAAGCTTACTCGAAAATGTGTTGACATTTTTAAGCTATTTTTTGTTTAAAATGTTAATGTTTAATTGTTGTGCCTTGCCAGAATTGCACCTCTGATGTTAAAAACAACAAACATTCCACCGTTTCAGATGTTCATCAGATGAAAGCCTTAAAATTTTTTCTTTCTTGCTGTTCACAACAGTTTGGTGAATTGTAGGTCAGTGTTTTCATAAAAAATATTTGTGCTGGTACTGTTAGTATTGCCTGCAAAATCCTTCCTGAGCTTTCCTAAAAAGTAGGATTGTAAGAACTTAGCGGCATGTTATTATGTAAGAATCTGTGAAGTTTTTTGTGAAGGCCAATTTCAGGCAAGCCAAGAAACAAAGGCAATAGCTCTGATGTTTCCAAGAACATCTCTGCTGAGAAATGCAGAGGGTTCAGAAAGAATAAAGCAGTTACACCTCCAAATTTAGGTTTGTGAGGAAAGTGCAGCAACACAGATCTGTAGCCTGAATTGTACATGACTACTTGTGTAAAGGTTGGTAACATTACCATCCCATTGCTTATTCTAGAACATTTCATCATCACGAAGTAGAAGCTCATCTCTGCTGCCTCCTGGAACAGTTAATTCTGCATCTCCCAGTGGCCAGAAACACATGAGTCAAAGTGGGCCAACCGTTGTCACCATCACACATCACAAATCACCTGCAGCCGCTCGAAGAGCAAAGAACCAGCGATCTGGTCAACTCAATGAAGTCAAAGAGGTAAGAGAGAAAAATCTACTGTTTGGCTATAACTCTGAAGTGCTTACTTTGCTTTAGAGTAAGAAATGGAGTCTGACAAGCCAACGATTCTGTTTCCTACTTTGTTTGATTGCATCGTTTTGATCCCTTCCCCCCAGCAAGAGGTGGCCTTTAGTTCTGGTTCAGCTTCAGGTCAGGTGTATCCAGACTTTTTTATGCTGATGTTAAAATTAGTATGCACACATGTTTAAAAAATGAAGTAGATTGGCTACAGCTCCCAGACTTTGCAGTAGTGTTACACTACTGGAGGAACATCTCTTTGAAGCTGCGTGCAGCAAAACCTTTCAGATTGGAAAGTGGGCCCTGAAGCATTTAAATATAATTGGAAAAAAGTACTTTAAGTCTGATGAATGTGTGAACGAAGGCATAGTTCCCCGCACTCAGCAGTTTGTTCCTATATACCTGTAGTCTTAACTTTATTGTCAAGTTTATATTGCTGGTCTTGTGATGGAGGAATGCTTTGTCTGTATCAAATGCACGAAAACCAAACAAGAAAGCATGTTTATTTCAAAGGCTGTTTACCAGTGTTTTAAGAAGTATAACTTGTATACCAATTTAAGTCTGTCTTCCAGACAACAAAAATAGTACAGAGTTTTAAGCTTAAATAGTATGGTAGATTTTCACAGAACTCACTTTCATCTTTCATTCCTTATTATTTCTTTGTTTGTCTTTCATGTTAAGAATTTGAATAAATTCTTGGTATGTGCTGATAATGAAGACTGAGATCGTGCATCCTGATGAAGAATGCTTGTTTTTATTCTCGTTAACATTAAAAGTGAAGAGCTCATTGTCTGAATGTCACCCACATTTTCTTTCCATTATAAAATACACACATCTTTGTTTTTTAATGAAAGTATCCTGTCTTTGTCTACTAGTCATCTCCCCCAAGTTATTTCTAGCATACTAAGTATATTTACTCTCAGGCTGTATTCAGAGTGCACCTTAAAACTATTAATAAACAGTGGGAGCTGTTGCAGCTTTGTCAAATGAAACTGTGTAAGACTGAAGGGAACTGAAAAGAGAGTGTTAATATATGTGCTGATCATAATAAGTGGGGAAGGGGAAAAATCATTTCCAGAGAACTACACTTGGAAGAAATAAATACTAACCTATAGTAAAACAATGAATAAGTGACCAGGTATCATGCTTGTGCAGTGCTGACTCATCTGCCTGCAGTGTATTGCATTGCAGTGATGTCATTCCAAAAAGGTAAATATTACAGGGCTTTAATCTGTAATGATGAAAGGTAATTATTTTGTTGTGCTTGATATGAGTGATACTTCACATGCAGCACCAGTTCCTGTTGGAGGGCTGCAATAAAAAACCAAAAAAATCTTAGGCATTGAAGTTGCCGTAATGGTTGAAGGTGAAAAGAAATGAGTGCTTTTCAGGGAGTGGAAAATGGTACTAAGATAAACGATGCATAAGAAAATTTTATAAGGCGATATGTGAAGTTTACCTTTTTGTGTATTGGATTTTTTTTTTTGTGGTGAGCTACTTCTTAAAGAAGAGCATAACAGTGTAAAAGGCAGACCTTCTGCCCTCTTTTCCAGTGTTCTGTAAAAAGCGGTTGCTTGACTGCTTGATGTTATTTCCATCTTGTGAAGGAATAAGTGTGATTTTTCCAGATTAAGGAAGTAGATTTTATTTCAATGGCATGCTCTGTGCATTTCCTTCCCCCGCTTTTTCTGGAGTGAATGCAATAGACTTGGGTATGTGCTACCTGTTTTTTAATGGAATATTCATGTTCCTTATTTGAGTCAATTGGTGACTCTTGTATCTACCCTCGTGTGTTAAATTTATGAATAAAGAGGTGGGTCCAGAGTCCTTTGCTTAAAGTGCACTTAAATCAGTTGTAGTCCTGTTTTTTAGCCTGAAGTGAGGAGAAATAAAAACTAAAAGTACAAAAAGGTAGAGTTAATCCCTTCCTCAACACCCAAATCTTTGCTTTTCATTTGAAAGTTGTTTGGTATGATTTGGATGAAGGGAAGAGACTGCAAAAGGATTATGGATCAGTATTAGTATTCCCCTGATAGAATGAAGTCACTAAAGCTTTGACATGCAAATAAGCTTTCTTTTATGATACTATAAATAGGACTATGCTAACTGATTTCCATCTTGTAAAATACAGTAGTCAAATCAATGGAAAGAGTTGATACACTTTGGAAAATCAGAGGAAGCATGTGTGTTTCAAATTTTCCTTTCATAGTAAGAATAAACAACACATTGTTTCTTTCTGTGATTTGTTCTGGCTGATTTAATTTTATTTTTAACAGCGTAGAGAATTTTAGTGTAAAACAAATTGTAGCAAAGTTGTCTGTTTAGCACCAAACTATTGTGCAGAATTATCTAAATGTAGTAAATGCAACTGTGTAAGGCTGCAAAATGACACATGTAATAAGTGTTTCTGTTGAGAAATTAGAATTGTACCTTTTCTCAACATTTTGGTAAGTTAAAATTGAGCATAAATATGGAGCTTTTGACTGCTATAAAAATGTGTGTTTTGATATTCAAACTACTTTTGTGTGGTGTTGAATTGAAAATGATCTCAGGAGCATTGTAATGTAAATTCTTTGCTGTTTAAAATAATATTGTTCTCTTAAATCAGGTTTTTGCTTATATTAATGTGATGTTAAAAGTCTGGTCCATACTAATATATGGAATGTTACATCAAAACTAAATTTCAATGTACATTAATTTTGGGAGAGCTGATCTGCAACAAGTTGTACTTTATGCAGAATTATTAGAGATCCTGCCTCTTTATTTGGACCATAAATTAGCATTAAAGCAGTGCTTTCAACTAATTTTTTAGTAAGTGATTTTATGGTAACCTAAGTCTCTGTGGTCTTAAAATTGAATTCTGTTTTTTAAACCATGCATATTATTATTCTCTTAGAAATTTATGATAAGAGTTATGCTTGCAGATTTATTTGCTATAGACTGTTAAAAATTAACTGGAACGTTAAACCAATCTTCCACATCACAGTTCTTATTAAATTTTAACTGTCACTGCACTAAATAATAGTGGTGCGCTTCATCTTGGTATGGTGTTTATTTTGGCTGAGGGTGTCTGACTATTGTATGACCTCTGCCAGTGTTACCATTGTTGTCAAAGAACCAGGAATTGCAGTGTGTGAAGATTTTGTAGCAAATTATATTAATTATTTACAGAACTCTGGAGCAATTAAGTGGAGTTAACTAAAAGAAGTCCAGAGAAATATTTCTTCCCACAATTTTAAAAAGTCAATGAAGGAATTTCTGATCCCTTTGAAATGTGGTGTGACATCTATTTTATGTGACAGTGGGCAGTTCCAGAACTTGACAGTCCTACTACTTCTTGCATGTCCTTTTCCGTATATAAATATGGTTACCATTTGATTCCTGCAGGAATTATACAGCCAGGTGATAGTTCTTTGCTTCCTCCCTCACAATGTAGGAAAATCTAGGACTTGCACCTAGGGCTTCCTGGAGTGAAGTTCACCAGCAATTTTGTTTGGGCTGCAAGTGTCCAGTTTTATGTGGTTACTAGGAGAAAGAGATGATTCTAAAACAAGTGAGAAGTGAATGTCTTCAGGTCACTGTAGTATTTGGATGGCAAAATTAGGTACTATGATTAGCTACTGTTAGCAAAAAAGGCTGTTGTCTGTGGAGAACTGTTTGTTCTGTGGAAGAATTATAGCACTGCACAGGCAGCATTGTAGATGAAAAAGGAGATGCAGCACTTAAATCACTTGAGGAGGCATTCCACTTGTGGGATTTCCACATATGTGAACACGCAAACGCATACACTAAGCTGTATTTTGGTGTTAAAGCTTTGTAGTCAGTGTTTAAACTGGTACTGAAAAAGTCAAGTTTTGCTTTTTATTTCGGGTCAGTGGATAAGGTCAATCTAGTGTGAGTTCTAGCAAAAAGAATGCTGTAGGTCTAGATGTTTGGCACAGTGTTGAGGTTCTGCAAGGTTGTGCAATAAGGGCACATGAAAAAAGGTTGATTCAACTCCTTGAACAGGACATCATGCATAAACAGTGTAAAGTATGCACAAAGGACATTTAAAAAATCCTGCTAATAATTGAAGTGTTTTTGAAAGTATATGTCTAATTTTGTGTATAACTGTTTCTGTGTAAATAGGGAGAAGTGCTGTATATTAGATCATTGCTTTCACTGGCAGTTCTCACCTTGATTTTGGAGCGTAGGAAGATGAGAGCTAGCTTTGTGACAAAAGTGACCTTCAGGCCTGCATGAGTAATAAATCAAATATTTGCTTCCGGGAGATGAAAATGGTTTCATCATGTTGACCTAAGGTGTGAATGTAACATGAAGTGCTAAACTGTGTTACCTTCAGTCTTTCTGGCCTAGTGATCTAGGTGCCTCATCAGTGGAGAATGATAGCCAAGGACTGTATCTGCAATAGCGCTGCTGAAGTCTGTGCTGCTGTGCCTTTGCTAGTCAGATTTAGAACTAGTCACCTAAAATCACGACCATTTTTCTTTCCAGACATGTTTTAGTATAAAAGGTGGCTTTGTGATGTTTTCTTTGTGGCAGTCTGTGGCTGATTCTGTTAACTAGTTTTCCTGCACTTCAAAACTAGTGTACTAAACACCTTCTACACAGATTTCTCAGTTAGACTGACCAAAGCATTTCATCTTTAATAGATACTGCAGAAAGTGTTTATACTGTTTCACTTTTGAAATCGGAGTGTCCTGTTTTCTGTTAATTTGGGAAAATAATATGGTGGTACAGTGAGTGGCAATTTTGGAAAGGGAGGGGAAAGAACACAGAGGAGTAACCTTTTTTAGTTATAGCTTTTCATTTTTTCTTAGACTTGTATGCAAAATACCTTCCACCCCCCACCATACATAATAAATTACTCATAAAGGCTCATCCTATTGATCATCTTTCATCAAGTATATCATATAGTATAAGATATATATATCTCAGTATATCATATCAAAATAAGTAGT